GCTCGAACCCGAAGCGATACAAACACACCGACACTCGCAGTACATACAGTACATACATGTTTAGTAGATATACATAATATAGCGTTTCCTTGGAACATTTCAAACACGACCATATTATTTATTTTTTGTAAAATTAAAACTAAATTACGAGTACATAATACAATTTTCCTAGCAATATCATTATTTTGTACAAAATTGAGAAATCATAGAGAAACGCTCACAACGCGTACATCCGCAGTACACGCGCGCCATGCTGCGATATATAGACACGTTACAAATGTTACAATAATCAATTGTTCATTAGCATCGTCGAGTACTGGAAGTATACTCAGTACAACATTCACAATATACAAAGCTTTACAATATAAGACAATAATTATAGAACACCAACAACATGTCACAGCGGGCAGTGGACGGCGCGAGCCATTGAGCAACAATATACTCCGTTACCATACAGCAAACCTATACTACATATATGTAAATACATAGAAAAGTACAAGAGCTACATACACGGCACAAGTTGACGAGTCACATCAAAACGCGGGCAATATTTAGATAATTTGATACACTAACAGCGCGGTACAAAATATATGTTCGTGAGGTAGACTCGAGTGTCTGGTCCAGTGTCCCCGGCTACTGTACGCCATCACGGCAGTAGTGAGTGCAGCAGTCCCTGGCATACATCATGGTGCACTACTGCGCCGCCACCTCGGGGGCCGCCACTACCGGCAGCGCGGCCGCCGGCGTCTTGTCAGCTCGCGGCTCCGGCGCCGGCTCCGCCAGCTCGGCGGCGGCAGCGGCGGGCGCCGCGCCGGGCTCGGGGTCGCCTGTACTGGCGCGCAGTGCCGCGGGCGACGTGGCGGCCGGGAACACGGTGCCGCCCTTACACGCCGCGCCCGGCACCTGCTTGCACAGCCGGGCCATCGCGCTCGCGCCGTCGCGCACCCCTGCAACACACGCGCCGCGTCACGTACAACCACAACGACACAATACAACAACAACACTCGAGCGTCACCTGGCGCCACGGGGTACGCGCTGGCGGCCGCCGGCCGGCACGACGTCGTCGGCAGGGACGCGCTGTCCGACGCACTCAGCTCTGCGAACACACGCACACATTGACACGGTCACAGCATTGCGACGCATGGTGTGAAGTGAGTACGGCGGTCGCACACCTTTGACCTTCTTGATGAAGTAGTAGAAGAAGTAAAGACACAGCATGATGAGCAGCGACAGGATGCCGACGAGCGCCACGTAGTACGCCACGTGACTGGGCCGCCGCGCGCCGTTGGGACCCGCGCCGCCCGCACCCGGGACTCCCATCCCGGGGCCCCTCTGTACTCAACAACTGCAACACAAACAACGTTCACTAAAATACCACTTGACTAAACCAACAGCTACGCCAGCGTAGCACGTGCTACATATATTTGCTACGCTTCCCGCGGCTGCTACGCGGACGGCGTAGTAGGCCTAGTAGGCTACGGCAGCCGGCACGGAGAACAGAGAGCCGTTGCGGTCGCGTCGTGCGAGATCGCCTAACGCATGGATTAGCGATTACTGAGTGCGATTTATCCAGTACCTGTATGCAATAGTAACATAATCTAATTACAACACGCCCAGTGCCCACTAATCATGCAGACTAGTACAGCAACGTTAGATCACATAATTATTATTATAATAGTTATATTATTTATCTCTCGGATGACTCACAGCCGGTGAGTAACACGGAGAAACCGTTGACCTTGTGATTTATCTATTGGGAAGTTAACCAACACTCAACAAGCGATATGAAGTAGCACAATGTTGCGCCCAACACGGTGGCAGTGTCATCCCGACTCACCTGTCCAGCTGGTGCTTGCTCGCGGCGAGCTGGGCGCCTGGTACCCGGCGTGCAGAGTGCTCACATGTTGTTCGACAGCCACAGCTCTCGCGGCGCGGCGGCCACTACTCCCTCGCAGTGGATGAGCACGGAGACAGTGACAGTCGGCCGCACGGGCGCGCGCCGCCTCGACACAGCGACACCGTGTCGCTGTGTGTGCGGGGAGTATGTGTCGCCGTGTGTCTGTGTGGTGCTGCTGGAACACGTCGCGCGGCGCCGCAGATGTCGGCGCGACGTCGCAACAAGTGCTCGCGACACTCTGGCGCCGCAGCCTCCGCGAGCAGGGCTGTCGCTCACGACCCTCGTTAGCTTCCCTACAAAGCACACGTTGTAATACTTGGTACCAAACGATGGTCGTATCTTTGTAATTGACAAGCTGCCCGCGCCTGCATTGCCCGTACCAATGTGACTTGACCAATATGTACTTTCTAAGATTATCTTGACACTACTGACAAACGGCGAAGGAAAACATCGTGAGGAAACCTGGGCTTATAATTTCTAATTATAAGTTTGATATCGCCAACCCGCATTGAGCAAGCGTGGTGATTAATGCTCAAACCTTCTCCGTGTGAGAAGAGGCTTTGCTCAGCAGTGGGCATTAATAGGCTGTTGATGATGATGTCTTTTGTCCTATGACATTGTTTCATTTTGTGAACTCCCCGTGGCTTCACGGGGTTCACGAAACACACAGTTTTGTGGGAAGCCGATTTATTTACAAAACCTACATATTACAGCCTTACAGCCTACGCCATTGAATGTTGGGTGCATATTTACAAATGTCAACTGAAGTCTTGAACTACCTCGAACAACAATTTGTAAGTTCGTGCTAATGTTATTGAAGGGCAGGAATTGAACCTAAGAAACGCCTCACAGCAGACAGTGGCACTGCTCCAACTGAGCAGTAACAATTAAGTTTGTACATTTAGTCAGTAGCAGTAAGTACGTACAGCCTTGGTGATCTAGTGCTCGCATTCGCATGTGTGAATACAAAACAAGGGGGCTTAGGTTCTAAACTCCCGGGTCGGGCTAAGTATTGTTGAGTTTATTACGGTTTTTCAAAAAAGTATTAAATAATAACCAAAGCCTGAAATTATTAGACCCTGTATGTATTTGACAATAGGCTCCCATTGTATCTCTGTATGTCTCTACCATTTGTAGACGAAATAGCAAGATGGACGTGAGCGCCCCCACCTATGTTAAAGCGTAAGGCAGGTTGTGGCACAAACAGTAACTGTCAGTAGTCAGCGAGGGGACGACTCGTGGCTCGTGGCAGCCCTGCAGCGAGCGGCGACAGCGCGGCGCCGCGCCCGCGCATGCGCAACAAGTGCCCGCCACCGCCACGTTACACTGTCCCATACCTACCACTCTAGCAGTAAATACTCCCAACATTTACTAATAGCAGATAATCGTTTTATTCTCCTTCAATGATAACTTTATTTTATTTCGTTGCAGGACCCAGGACATTTGTCCATGTTCCCCGCTCCTGGGACGAGGGGCGCGCGTAACTTCAGTGTTTCGGTGTTGTACTACTGTAGATCCATCGTTTAACCCGTGGTATGCCGGAACTTAGATCTACGCGAGGCACAATGTATTTTTATTGTATCTCATATACCGGCACTCAAGAGGTTAAAGGAGTTGTAGCTATTTTGGGAGATCGTGGCAGGCTCGCCACAATAAAATACATATATGCAATACTTACACCGTATCAACTATCGTGTGGAGGGACTAGCGCTGCGCCTGTCTGCTGAGCCTGGGCACGCGTATAAACATAATACCACCTACAATCCTGCATGACTAGGAGCAAGTCTTGTAGTAGGAAGCGTTCTGTAGGTTCGAAGTACGTATTTAATTTACGACGGTCGGTCAACACAGCTGTAGATTCTGAACTTCACTTCTTTCACTACAGACGGGACCTGCTACTAGACTAGGCTCCCGAGAATATTACCAATAGGCACCGAGACTCGGCTCAGAGCAGAGAAGGCGGGGTGGTATTTACTGGTATTTACTTACCCAGGGCGGGGGGAGCCGCTTCATGATTTCCATACATACAAAAATTAAAGGACATTCAAATGAAACTCATTCTGTACGCTGACATGCGTTGCGCAACACATTTATTATATTTTGTAAGAAAATTATAATACACTTAGTGACCACTTACATAACTAAATTCAAAATATCTTATTCATAACAAAATGCACCTTAAACTTTACAAGATAAAGCTCAATGTACCTATATTTGGGAAATAAGAGAAACGTTACAATCTAAGGTAAACAATAGTAATCAGGAAGAGAACATATTACACAGACATTGTACTCCGTCTTAGCTGTACTTGTAGCCTAGTCTGTACCGCTCTCAATATCACATGGCCGCTGGCCGCTGGCCGCTCGGCGCGGTATATTTATGTCTATCTATATAATTCATAAAGTGACGTCACCGTACAACATTACTCTTACTGTAGCTACTACAAACGACTCATTCACTAGTTAAGTACGTTGCCACACGTAGCGCGGTGTGCGCGTGTGTGTAGGTCTAATCAAAACTGAGCACTTGGAGAACAACCAATGTACTGCGCGGCGGGGGCGACACGTGGCGCGTTGCATGTTGCAGCGCGCCACGTGTTGCAAGTTGCGGCGTGACGCGATAGATAGTAAGTACTAAGTACTGGTGACACACGTACTGAGCGCGCACTGATAACGCGCTGTTATCTTGCTGATACTGCGCGCTGCGACTCCGGTACAAACATTATGATAATACGCCATTAGTGTAATCAAAACTATTGACTTTCAATTTAAAAATATCATACAGATCTGCGCAGTTTGTACTTGTACCGGGCGCCCCCTACCGGCCTATAGCAAATGTTACATTACAGTGACATTGTCGAGAATTGCATTGTATACTTATAACTAAACATGTCGTATTGTACACTTTGCTAACATTTATATTTTATATAAATCTCATCTCAGTCGAGGACATTATTCTTACAGATAACTATAGTAATGAATAGATTATGTAAACAATGTTTGGTTGGTAGTGTTGAAGTAGGGGGAGGGGTCCTAGTGCGGCGCGTGGGGGTTGTAGGGGGGCTGCTTGTGGTCCGCCATCACTTGCTCGTACGACGGCGGACATGCTGCAACACAACGCGTTACACGTTACACGTCACCACATACATACTATGTTACACCCGGCACCAACCATGGTGGGAGTCAGGTCGCGCATTGTGTACACATCATTTCTCGCTTTAACTTCCAACACAAATTCAAAGTACAATGTTAATAATGGCAATAGAAATAACGCGACAGTACACAACACGAGACATGTGGCCACGGTTCGTGTCGGGGACTGTACTACGGCCAACTACGGCACCACTCACCCTCACCGACACATAATGTACGCAGCACACTGGCAGAATGGTGGCACGTTCAAAATATGATGCAATTTCTACAAACTATCTGTGGATACATTTGTTTTGCAGACCTTATTTTTATGTTTAGACACAATATTTGAAGCTCTCTCCAGCAGCCAAATCTACCGACAGATAGGTTATCAAAACTATGAATGAGCTGAGAAGCTGAACCTGTCATACGAAGCGAAGCTAGCGCGACTAGTGGAACACTTAATACCTACGGATTACGGATCAAACTTTCAGTTCGAGTCTCGAATGATTAATACAACTACTTAATGTTTCAAAATGGTAACACGACGTCCCTGCAAAGCGTGGACTCAAATCGAACAGAACATACAAGCAGAGAATGAAAAACATTTGAGTATGTAGTTCTTTGCCAGAGTGACATAACAAAGGCTGGACGGTCTACGGACACCATGGCCCTGGTTAGTGTACACTGCTATTAATGTGAATATGCGATATCTAATCCTTGCGGAAAACAAAAAGGAAGTGATATGTATTATCATGCATTGTGTTATTTCGTGTTGTTTTCCTTACACTGCACGTACCGAGCCCGGCATAAATCATTCAAATATGGAACTATAATAATGACCCAAATTGGTAACCCATTTAATTTCCAATGACGCCAGGGAAGATTCACTTCTGTCCGTCAACAACATTCCACGTCCCATTGTTTGACGTCGAGTTTCATCTTTAGTACGTTTTCATGCGAAATGACTGAACAAAACCAATAAACGTGCTTTAGAACCGTTACATGCAATTTGAGTTCTCAGAAATACAGCCGTTGGAAATGACCTCCTTGATTGCATCCACACTTCCAGAGACACGGCACAAGGACACAAGCCGACACTAGATGTCGTTAGCGTAGTGTGAGGTACGCACCTTGCGCGCTCCAGCCGGGCGGCGCCACTCCATAGAAAGCTTTGCACAAAGCGAACGGTTAGTTAGCACACGGCACTTACTGCTAGATGCTTAGTTAGTCACGAATCAGCAAACTTATCAATATTGGATCGACTTTTAAATACTAAGAATGTATCATCGAAGCTATCATACGTATCAGTGAACATTGTGGCACAATAATATATTTCTCAGTATCGTGTCGTGTGTATCGTGTATGATGACAATCGTGTTCGTAAAGTCAATGATCAATTTAAGACGATTGGATGGAAATCAAGAGATTGTGTGAGCAGTAATACGGAGGACGGGGAAGTATTGTAACTATTGCCATGTCCGACACCCGCGCCCTGCGTACGCTACACATACAACACATACAACGGTAGACCACGCACTAAACCTGTTCTTGCTGACCAACAACTAGTTAGTCGAGTCACTACATGTGACGTCACGCGACGTATTATCCACTCGATGACTGTCATCTCGTACGACACTTGATCAAACGATATCAATACGATCTATACTTATGCTACAGATTGTTTGTTTGCCTATCTCCTGTAGTAGTAAGTACCGGGGCAAGTAAGTATTGTTGCAATGTTACCGCGTGCCCTGCCTGCGTACATAATATAGTATTCTGTGATAATATTGTGCCACTGTCCTCTGATGTTTCATTACAGAGGCTAAACTGACATTTTGTCAAACATATTTGTGTTAAAGATGGCGCATTGTTCGTGCAAGTGTGTAATGTTAACAATAGTAAGTACACAACACTCGACACTGCAGAGACAAACACCAAACCATTCATTATTACAGATATCATGTTATCACGAGTCAATTCAGTCTCTAAAATAAAATAATGAGTTATTAATATAATTATCAATGATTATGACTGGCTTACCTGTGACATCAGGTGCCGTGGGCGCTGGTGATGCAAAAGGGGCTGGTGCGGGTGCCGCTGCCGTCGGGTAAGGAGCCGTCGTGGGGTAGGGAGCCCCTGTGGGGTACGGTGCCCCTGTGGGGTAGGGCGCCCCTGTCGGGTAGGGCGCAGTCGTGGGGTAGGGCGCGGCCGGCGGGTAGGGTGTGGCCGCAGGGTATGCCCCCGTCACCGGGTACACGGTCACTGTCGGCGCTGTGGACAACGTGGGGGTCAGTGTACGGGTGTATGGAGTGCAGTGTGTAGGCAGTGTGGGCAGTGTGTCACCTGTGTGGCGCACGTCGTGCGGCGGGTACACCGCGCCCGCGTACTGTTGCTGCGGGTATGGCGCGCCCGCGCCCTCGCACGGCGGCGCTGCAACACACGCACACGTATACACACGCTGCCACACGGACAGTACTGCACTACTGCAGGACGACGACGGACTACTCACGCGCGATGACGCGGCCGCGGGACTTGTTGCGGCAGCAGCAGCGACACACTAGCGCCACCAGCAGCGCGGCCAGCACGCCGCAACCCAGCCACCATAGCAGCTCCATGGGGGGCCCGCGCGGCCCGTGACGAGAGTCCTACACACACACACGTCACTTGTTGCAACCCAGCCACCATAGCAGCTCCATGGGGGGCCCGCGCGGCCCGTGACGAGAGTCCTACACACACACACGTCACTTGTTGCAACCCAGCCACCATAGCAGCTCCATGGGGGGCCCGCGCGGCCCGTGACGAGAGTCCTACACACACACACGTCACTTGTTGCAACCCAGCCACCATAGCAGCTCCATGGGGGGCCCGCGCGGCCCGTGACGAGAGTCCTACACACACACACGTCACTTGTTGCAACCCAGCCACCATAGCAGCTCCATGGGGGGCCCGCGCGGCCCGTGACGAGAGTCCTACACACACACACGTCACTTGTTGCAACCCAGCCACCATAGCAGCTCCATGGGGGGCCCGCGCGGCCCGTGACGAGAGTCCTACACACACACACGTCACTTGTTGCAACCCAGCCACCATAGCAGCTCCATGGGGGGCCCGCGCGGCCCGTGACGAGAGTCCTACACACACACACGTCACTTGTTGCAACCCAGCCACCATAGCAGCTCCATGGGGGGCCCGCGCGGCCCGTGACGAGAGTCCTACACACACACACACACGTCACTTGTTGCAACCCAGCCACCATAGCAGCTCCATGGGGGCCCGCGCGGCCCGTGACGAGAGTCCTACACACACACACGTCACTTGTTGCAACCCAGCCACCATAGCAGCTCCATGGGGGCCCGCGCGGCCCGTGACGAGAGTCCTACACACACACACGTCACTTGTTGCAAACCAGCCACCATAGCAGCTCCATGGGGGCCCGCGCGGCCCGTGACGAGAGTCCTACACACACACATTCATACGACACTTCCTGCCACTCACTCTACAGGAACTTGTGGCCAGCAGATAACAAACACTCTGTACTACCACCTACACAACACTCACACTGATCAACTCCATACTAGGTATCCGTATTACACACAGCCATGTTTACAATTCAATTAACTCATTCATTTAAATCATATCAACTAGGAAGTTTGTGTTGAAAGTTAAAGTTATAAATGAATATGAAAGTCCACAATGTGTGAAATTACTGCCACCATGGAAAATGGTTTATGCTGAGTACTATATGATGCAATTTCACAGACTCAACAGGATAGCAGCTCATGCAAAAGGTTATTTTACAGAATAAGGGGCAAACAAAACAACTGATGGTCGGGAGAAAGTTAAAGAAGTAACTCACAAGTAGTAGGCCTAAGTGACAAGTCAGTTGTTCAGTTGAGAGACACAGAGACAACACGTTACAGTCAATATGTTGTCACGTGGCCCACTACTGCCACAGTATGTTACACACCACTCCACAGCACTGTCACAGCTATCACTACTGCTGTACCACTGTACCAGTGTACCAGTGACTGTACCAGTGTACCAGTGACTGTACCAGAATATCAGTGACTGCACCAAACCAACCACTGCCTGCAGCAGACTAGTGCGCGGCGCCGCTCGCACCTGTAGCTGAGCGGTATCTGCGCGACCAATCCGTAATCAGCCAGTAATTAGTCCTTACATCGAGATACGGCGATAATATATCAGTGTGCAGAGTGGCAGTGTTAGTCAAGCGGCACTCAGTGTCGCCTGACGTAAGCGCTGCGCCGAGCGACCTCACGTACCTTAAAAAAGTCGTCGACATCGAGCTCGTTCGACTCGAACATCACTTGCAAGCAATAATGGAACAATAACAATGATGACACAGCGCTGACTTCACTACACTGGCCGCCGTCGCCCCACTGACTGTGTATCACTGATCGACTCAACGACTGTAAAACTAAGCGCTGTGCGCGCGAAACGTTTCCCAGTTCTCACCCAACTCGTATCCGACATGCGAGCTATGAGTCACGCCAGCGGACAATCGGGCTGATTGCTCTCAACTCTGGGTTTTCCTTTCCAGATTAACTATACAAGGAAAGACAAAGCGTAGCAACGTACCACCAATGATTTTAATGTAGGTACAAATAAAATTCTGTCCTTTGAATTTTATCTTACGACAAAGTAACTACATTATCTAATCTAATGCACTAGATATGAAACATACACAATCACGAGATTCATCAGAAAAAAACATTTTCTATTGACATACCTATAAATAAATAAAAGCGTTCCAAGTTGCTACCGCAAACTTCGCTGTTGACACCTTCACTTGTCAGTTGTCACTGCACTACTGCTGTCAGGTCAGTGCTGTCACTGCTTGTCACTTGATTTAAAAAAAAACTTTACCTAAGCACTAGTGACTTGACCTGTTTTTGTTTTTAGTTTTTAGCTGTTAATATTATTAGTATTAATATTACTTAGTTCTTATTATTATTTTAGTATTTATAGCGTCAAACAAAATTAAATACCTATAGATTTCAATAATAGGTAATTTAATACCTTGACAAAAAAATAATCCACCTGACATTACACTAGCCTTGTGATCCTTGTGATCTATATCCTTACATCAGTCAAGTGATCCTTCCTTACAGGTAAAAGAAATCACATCGAGCAAATAGAAACATAGAGCAATATTGGTTTAAATGAACTTACAAAAATGTAATGAAAATTCAAGAAAAAACCATCACATAACACATTAGAAATCAAAATCATGGCAAAACAACAAATATATATTATAACACAATTTGTTTAGGGTGTAGTGGGTTTTAGGTAATGTGATAATTTATTACCTAATTTAATGATATCTAAAGTACGTAACTTATAATTAAAAATTAAAATAACAATAAATGTTCTTAAACTACATAAAATAAAAATGAAATCGGAATCTGAAATTAATCCTGATCACTAAAAGTCGACTAAATATGAGACTTATAAGTTGAAAATTATATGGTGGTCTCCAAAGTATTCGTCATAATAAAGGAATGTCAATATTGTCATTGTCAATGTCTATAAAATTACAATTGTCATTTGAAATTGTTAAGTGCAGTGTGTTAGTGTGTACTTGAATACTAGATTATATTATTATAGTTTTATAATTACAATTACAACCTATTCTGTCCCTAATTTATTGTTCTAACATTCAGATAAGAACTCATTCCTGTAGTAAATATAACCAGCTAAGCAGCTTCCCTCATCACCATGAGTTCTGGATTCCTCAGTCGTACATTACTGCCGCTGCGACAGGTGTTCACAGCGCAGACTTCACAGTTGCACAGTTCGGGTGTTACATTTGCTGCTGTGAAGAAAACTACTTCCGCCGCCGGAGGTGCGTACACCGTATTTATACGTCATACTCATGCGTCAGTTGGATATCGTTTATTCACGTGTTTGTATTAGCGGAGCGCACGGCGGTGCTAATGTTGGTCTTGTCCAGGTGTTATGGGGCTGGGGAAAGGCAAGAAAAAGGTCGGCAAGCTAGGTGCTATGGAAAAGAAAGAAATGCCTGTAGAGAGCGACCCACATAAGCTTGTCAACTATGTATGTGGCTCCAACATCTATACCACAGGGGAGGACATCAAGGTGAGCTCTCTATCTACTTCGTTACTTATTTGTATACCACTATGGAAACTTACCATCAGGCAAGATAGTGGCCAAACACCAACCCTTTAATAATAAAGACAAAACTAAAGTTGCCACTTCAATGAGAGGACTTGATATATCTACTAATGGTTGCAGTAATTTAGTTAATATTCAACCCTTCATGTGTCTAAAATGTGGATACATGCGAGAGAAAGTACTTTCTATTGTCTCATGTAAGGATACATACATGGATGGCTTTTATTGAAAGACTACTACTACTACTACTAGCAGGTAGGGCAAGGTTCCATCAAACCAGCGCAATGACCCCACAATATGGAAGGACTTGCATATAATTACCAAGTTTCATGATGATATCAGAATGTATGCATGAGTCTTAGATTTGATTACCCACATAGTGTGTTACAGGTAGATCTAATCAATAAAAGAATAAATAAAACGAAATCACTTCATTCTTTGCCAGACTCTGTATTTCCTGAAGGGAGTGAATAGGTTGCTTGTGGGTTGACTTGCTTCATCGTAGACCACATCATCGCTTACCACCAGGCGAGATAGTGGCCAAATGTCAGTCCCATGTAATAAATAGAAAAAATAAAAGTCACTGATTTTAATATTAACTCGTCGAGTACCGGTTTTATAGACACAATTAAAGAACAATAGGTCGCGGTCACCGGTGACCGCTTGGTGTTTGACAGATTAATAAATGTAGTCTTTTTAAAAATGAATCTAACTTAGCGGAACAAATGCAATGAGAAGAAAGGTTCATATTTTAAAGGAATTCTTGAATTAAACCCTTTCAGTGGCATAGGATCCATTGACATTGCCAAGCACGGGTTGGCCTTGGTATTGACAGGTGGCCGCGTGTAGTTGCAGGAGGACGGCGCGTACCCCGCGTGGCTGTGGGCGCTGCGCACGCGCGCGCCCGCGCTGCACGAGCTGGCGCCCGACTCCAAGCAGTACTGGCTGCGGGTGCGCGCCGCCGCCATGCGCCGCAACAACAAGCTGCGCTCCATGAGGAAGTTCTAGGCTGTGCCACCACCGTAGCGAACTAGTGACTGTAAATATTAGTTAGCCAATAATACCCGACCTGTACAAATATACCATTTATTTCATTCACAAAGACTTTCAATCGAAATTCACAAAATGTTTTGTGTGTGTTAGTGATGTCAATATGATTCGTCAATTCGTCATGTATAGAAGTAAACATTGTTCCTTAAAATCAAAGTAAACACCATTTTTACAAAATATTTTACGACTTAGTACCTACCGAATATTTTTTATAAAATAAATAATAAACCAGCTAGGCATAGACATTAGGTACGACAGACAATTTTTGCAATTCACACATGTCAAATCCAAAGATACAGTACGACGACATGACCGATTTGTCTCAACATTACAGTTCTGATAGGACGGGACGTTACTCGACTCAACGATTTTTTTGTTATTAACTGGAAAGCGCACACGGACATCACAAGCGAGCCTCGCCACTGCAGCCACTACAGGCAGTCCATCGTGTCCTCCTTGATGATCAACGGCGGCGCGTAGTCGCCGTGCTTCGTGCCGAATGAGTACGAGTACGGGTTCTGTAACAGACACGACACATTACTTCACTCGCTCCCTGCGCGCAGCGATCTCTCGAGCTTCGCAGCACTCACCTTCTTAGTGTTGTAGAGGTTGGGCGGGTAGGCGGCGGGCCCCGGCGTCTTCGTGGCCTTGCCGGCCCCTTCGAGTCGAGCGCCCAGCGAGTACACGGGTTGCCTGCCAACACACCACTCGGTATAAGGCGCCACACGTATGTAATAATGATATACCTGTGGCGGTACTCACTTGCACTTGTACACGTTGGTGTCGCGCTGGAAGTACATCGCGGGCCCCGGTGACTTGGCCTTGGTCATGAAACCAACGCGCGCCCCCATGGTGTAGGCGGGCGTGCCGGGGCCCATGCGCAGCGCGTAGGCGTTGGGTGCGGGGCCCGGTCGCTTGAGCCCGAAGCCGAGCCGCGCGCCCATGGAGTAGACGGGCGCGCGCGGTTCACGCATGGGCGGGCAGCGCTCGGGTGCGTGTGCGCCCGGGCCCGGCGTGCGCAGCGTGGCGCGCGCGGGGAAGCGGGCCCCGAACGACCAGGCGGGCGCCGACATGACGCCGTCGCGCGTCACGCGCTCGATGCGGTAGGCGGGCCCCGGGCCCAGCCCGCGCACGCGGTAGCCGGCGTTGGTGCCGAACGAGTACATGGGGTTGCGGTAGCGCGACGGGTCGTGCTGCGGGAAGCCGACCGTCGTGGGCAGCTGGTAGGCGCCCGGCCCGGGGCCTGCAACGTCACGTGTCGCGCGCCACTACATGCCATACGTCACTACTACACTACTGCGCTGCGATACTCACCCAGTGGTCTCTTGGACATTGTGATTGCTTGTGATTGCGGTTGTGTTTACGTTTTACTAAAATTTAGCGTCATTGAATTAAAGTGCGTTGTGTTGATTACGGTAATTTTGACATAATGGTCAGTCGGCCACGACGTGTGACGTTACAAACAAATGAACTTTCAAACATAGAAACAGCGCGTCACACTGCGCGGACATGACCCGGCCCAGCGGCCCAGCGGCCCACAACCGCTTACATCGTTGGTCATCGAGTCGAACTACTAGTACCTAGTATATGTATATTATTGAATAATTAAACATCTAGTAATGTTCGTAGGTTTATAGTAGATTACAGGTAGGGTACTAAACTAGTGAAACAACAAACACATTGGGTCTAGTTTACGATTAAGTTTCTTCAGTTTTGCTTTATTACATACTTCTGTTTATTACCAACGCCGATAAACTTTCAATACATAATTGAATTACTAAATATGTTTGTACAATGCGACCACTAAGTAGAAATCGGTTGCCACTTCGATGATATCAGTCCAGTAAGATAAAGTAGGCCTGTAGTGTGTAGGTAGTAGGTATGTACGAGTCGCTCGGGTGGTGTCTGTGGCTCTACTGACGGGGCGCCAGCGGCAGGCGCTCAGCGCCAACCTCGTACTCGGCGCCCTCCTCCTCCGGCGAGCTGGCGCCCCACTGCATACACAGGCTCACGTTACAACGGTACAGTACACACACACATACACACATAGCGCGGCAAAGTACCTGGCGGGATAGCGGATGCGCCGTCAGCGCGCGGTACAGGTAGGCCACGTACAGCAGATTGAGCACGCCCAGCGCACGCATCGCTGTCTCGAAGCCCACGCACCACGATACCGCGCCGCCCAGCACCGGGCCCAGCGCGTACGCTGCGCTCGAGGCCGCCTGCAGTAGCGCCGCCACGTGCGCCTCGCGCCGTGGGTGGCGAGCCAGCAGCGCTGGCACCAGCGCCGCGTCCGCTGCGCCCAGCCCTGCGCCCAGCGCCACGTGCGGCGCCGCCAGCCCCGACACCTGTACGTGTACACCGCACGTGTAGCGAGCCGGCCGCGGCCCGCCTCGTTACACGCCAGTACTCACGGAGCGCGCGTGCGGCACGGCGAGCGCGGCGAGTGCCACGGCGAGCTGCCCCGCCAGCGCCACGCGCTCGGCGCCCAGCCGCCGCGCCGCGCCGCCCAGCAGGCTGGCGGCCAGCAGGTAGGCGGCGGAGTCCGGCACGAACACTGCGCCCGTCAGCCAGCGCTGCGGGTGGAACTTGTGCATCAGCCACAGCGGCAGGCACGGCTCCAGCGCCGCCATGACGCACGTCGTCAGCAGCACGGCGCCCGCGCACGCGCCCGCCCCGTCGCGCCCCGCCAGCGCCCACACGCCGCGCCACGACACTCCGCCCGCGCCCTCATCGCACGGCTGGAAACACCATACTGTCGTCAACTCGTCACAGTGCAATGCTGGGAATACTATACTCGCGTCCTTTACATAAAACAAAAAATACTTATTATACATTTTATTTATTTAATATGCTTCATGCACAAAATGTACAAATAGGTGGACTTAATGCCCGGACGCCACCTCGACTGTTATCGGTAATTTATCTGACATTTACCACATTAGGATTGAGGCGGACGAAGTAGCCGCTTTAGTACGTAATCTGGATCCAACGAAGGGTGCTGGCCCTGATGAGATATCGTCTAAATTGCTTATAAAATGCGCACCTTCCATTGCCATACCTATCTCCATTCTGTTTTCTAAATCGTTGACTCAAGGTTTAGTCCCCAAAATATGGAAAGCCGCCTTTATTACGCCGGTTTATAAGAATGGGTCAAGAACCGAGATCACTAATTACAGACCTATCTCCAAATTATGCATTATAGCTAAGATATTTGAGAAGATTGTCTACAAACAGTTATACTCCGCCTTGGCCAATTCATTTAACTCCTTTCAACACGGATTTTTGAGAGGGAGGGCTACTATTTCCAACCTAATTCTTTTTAATCACTCTGTCACGGATGCTATGAATAAAGGTAAGCAGGTTGATGTGGTTTACACAGATTACAGCAAGGCGTTTGACCGGATTGACCACGATATCCTGTTACAGACGCTTATTGACACAGGCATCAGCGGCGACCTCTTGAGGTGGTTCGCTTCATACATCGACAATAGGTCACAAGCAGCAGTACTCAATAACTACATTTCTAGCTGGGTAAATGTACCCAGCGGAGTGCCTCAGGGATCGTTGCTCGGTCCTTTTTTATTCGTAATCTATGTAAACGACATCAACAAGTGCTTTCATACAACCAAACTTCTATGTTTTGCTTATGACATGAAACTGTCAGCTACTATCTCAACTCCTGACGATGGTCTGGCACTCCAGGCGGATTTGCATCGGCTTGAAGAGTATTGTCCGATAAATAAACTAGATCTCAACCCATCTAAGTGTTCCGTAGTCACTTACACTAGAAAGCGCACTGTCGATGTCATTAATTATACTTTAGCGGGTCAGCCCTTACCAAGGTGCACTACTATCCGTGAATTGGGCGTCCATCAGGACAGCAAATCGGTTTTCGATACACATATTGATGCAATCGTCAAAAAAGCCTCTAAACTGCTTGGATTTATAATACGTCTTTCAAAAAATTTCACAGATGCAAAGACCTTTAAAATACTATATTGCACTTATGTCAGGAGCCAGCTGGAGTATGCGTCTCAGGTATGGAATCCAAGATATCAGAAATATATTGACCGCGTGGAAAACATTCAAAAACGTTTTATAAAATATATCTGTTTTCACCAAAATATACCATACCTACCAGTCTGCCCGTTATCTTGAACTCTGTAGAAAATTCCATCTATTACCATTGGTAGATAGACGCAACATTGCAGATTGTCTATTCTTGTTTAAGGTTCTTAACGGCAATGTGGATAGTCCAGAACTATTATCAAAAATCAAATTTAATGTACCTAATAAAATATTTAGATTTAATCCACCTCTACACGTATCCCGTTCCTCATCTAACTACAGGCAGAACAGTTACATTGTGCGTGCAAGCAGACACTTTAACAATGTTTGTAAGGAATATATTGACTTCGATCCGTTTACAACTAGTGTGAACTCGGCAAAGAGGTGCTTAAGCCTCAAATTTTTTAAGCAGCAATAGATATGTAGTTTTTTTTTATTGTTTCTCTTGATCTGTTTATAATCATATTGTCTGCACGGTCGGTTTCAATATTTAACCTTTTCATTTAAGAAGAATGTATGTATTTTAAATATTGTATAGTACTCACACCATATTAATTAATTTATTCCAAATGCTAAACGTGAGGACTTGTTATTGGCTCATTGTTACCTACGCCTATTGTTATTTTTATCAATTTTTATAAGCTGTAAGTCCTCCATGAATTATAAATAAATAAAAACCGACTTTTACCAACGAGGGTTTTTAGAATTCGTTTAATTAATACTAAACCTTAACCTTCTCCTATGTGCAACAAACACTTTTGTAAAAAACGCATCAAAATCGGTTTAGCGAATAGCGAGATAATCGCTCACAAACACAAGTAGGTACATAGGAACCTGCTTTTGTTTGAAGTTGGTTAAATTAGGCTTGACAGTTGGAAAACTGGAGTACTCACGCGATTGTACTCCTCCTTATTCAAAAACATGTACTGCAGGGCTGAAACAAAGGAACACGCACTTAATACTCACTACTCACTCAGACTCTACGACACTACCTGCGTCGCCGTTAGAGATGAATACCCACGGCCGCAGCATTCTCACCGAGGTCGGCCAGCAACGCGGCCGCTATCAGCAGGAAGGGCGCGCCGCGACTCCACAGCGCGTACGTCGCCCCGCCGAACGGATAGCCCACCAACACGCCTGCAACACCAACACTCGATGCACTTTCAAAGTCAAAGTCAAAATCATTTATTTCAATTAGACTAGGAAGGCACTTTTGAACGTCAAAACAAAATATTTAAATCTATACTAATATTATAAAGAGGAAAGATTTGTAACTTTGTATGTTTGTAATGTATAGGCTCAAAAAGTACTGGGCCGGTGACCGCTTGGTGTTTGACAGTTTAAAAAATTCTTTCACTAATAGAATGCTACATTCTTCCAATTTGACATAGGCTTCATTTCATTTTGAAAAAATTAGGGATCCTTGGTAAAATTTGAACAATGTAACCGAAGGTGTAGAAAAATGTCTTTCGTCGAATGCGCTGCCGAAACTATTAGCGATAGAAAAAAATAATGTACAACAATATTGAAGAACATCATAATGTCTACAAATAACTCCGCGGTAGCATATGTCCAACTATTGTAGTTATGTCACTACAACAATCCAAATTTACAAAAATAAATAATTGTCTACCCCGTGCGAAGCCGGGACGGGCTGCTAGTATTAAATAATAAGAAAAAATGACAGTCTGTAGGTCAGTTCTCTAGTGAAGCTATTTGCTCGTTCCAAAGTGTAGGTAGATTCCTGTGGAGAAGAACGAGTAAGAAACTCCATAGGTGCCGCGGCCCACGCGCCGCACGCTTGTGGCCAGTTACTTACCCAGTGCGACGGCCCCTAGCAGCGCTCCGATGGCACGGTCCCGCTGCGGCGGCGCCAACACCCGCGCCGCCAGCGCCAGCCCCGACACCGCGCCCAGCGCCGCGCCCGCGCCGTGCGCCGCGCGCCCCGCCGCCACGCACAGCGCCGCGCTCCATCCGCCGCGCCCGCTCACACACGCGAACACTGCGCACAGCACACGTCACGCGGGCCCGCGCCGCTACCCGCCCCGCCCCCCGCTCCGCCCGCCCCGCACGTACCGACGGCCGCGGCGGCCAGCGTGGCGGTGGCGGCGCGCAGCACGGGCGCGGCGCCGCAGCGGCACACGGCGGCGCCCGCCAGCGGCGCGGCCACCAGCTGCGCGGCCGCCTTGGCGCCCAGCACCACGCCCACCACGGCCTGCGACGCACCGCCCGCACCGCCCGCGCCCTCTGTCTCATCACACACACTACACGCTGGCCCCGGCAGATGCATCGGGTTCGCAAGAGAATACCTAACTGTCTTCCAAGGATGCAATGAAGTGTACAAATACCTATGTATGAATTCAATCGGCACTAAACTTGTCAATTTACGTAAAATTTCGTGAACACTCAATTTTCTCCTTATCTTACTTACATACAACTTCATATTTACATACATTCCTTTACGATAATAGTTTTCAAATCAAATCAAATCAATTTATTCGCAAAAATTTTAAATGGATTATTTTTTGCAACGATTTAATTTTTGTGAACAATACTGATGACTTAGGTCCTGGCGGGATCGACATCGCCTAAAGTGGCAGAGGGCCCATATAGTATTTGTCAAACAACCGATAATCGTTGTGACTTGGAATAGACGTGTTCTACAATGGAGGCCGAGTCTGGGCATATCCGCAAGGTGGCAGTGGATAGATAAGAAGAGCCGAAGATAGAGCTCAGTGACGTGCTATTGGAGAGGCTTATTGAGTTAAGAAGTCGGTGCTCCAAGTGCCAAGTCTTGACGGGTGCATTAGTTTATAAATACAAAAATAAATACAAATATTGTTTATTTCGTCAATGTAGGTATGTTACAATAGATGGTAGATAATATTATGGTAGTGCGCCACATTGTGTCTGTACAGACATACAAAATTTTTATAGTATGTTTATCTAGTATCAGTAAGTAATATTATGGGTTTGTGGCACCGACTTCTAAACTTTTAATGGGTGTTGTTGGTACTGTAGCGGTAGCTACTGAGTAAACTGAATCAAGTTGTTATAAGACCAAATGGCACCTATTTCGCGTCGAACAAAAAAAATCACGCAAATCGGTCCACAAACCGCGGCGTAATCGATGTACATACATATAAAGACAAAGACACCAGCCGAATTGAGAACTTCCTCCTTTTTGGGAAGTTGGTTAAATATTGAGGAAGTCTTCAGTCACGCTTTTATGGAAGTAACCGTAGTATGGAGGAGAGTGGGTACGAGGAATGCGTAGTGCGGACGAGTACCGGCGGCGGCGACAGCGCGCTGCGCGGTGTGGTTGAGCAGGCTGGCCAGCGGCGCGTCCTGCGTCGTCCACAGCGCCAGCGCCTCGCCGCGCACCCAGTCCGGGATGATGGGCACTGCACACACAGCGACACCCTCAGTACCGGCGACACTCACCGGCCGCGCGGCGCCGGCACTCACCCAGCACGGTCAGCAGCACGTTGTCCAGGAAGAACGTGAAGTATATGAGCGCGAAGGCCGCAGCCCCGCCGCGCGCCTCGCCCGCCGCCTGCATCGCGCGCCGCCTGCTCGCTACTGCCGCAGCGTGGCGCGGCACCGCCACTCCGCCAGTCCAACAGATGTGGCTCGTTTCCAATCAGCGCGCGGCGGCGCGTGTGCGCTTCCTCATTCAATTTTCTGGTGAGCGCACAGTAATGGCGCCCGACGTGGTACTCGCTGATAGTGATAACGATGTCACATTCCATTTATGTTACTATCGTGTACCGCACACGCTACTCGACATCAGCTAACGTGCCGGACGAGTGCTATACTAACCTCCGCCGCGGCTTTTGTATGTTCATCAACATTATTTTAAACTGTCAAACACCAAGCGGTCACCGGTGACCGCGACCTAATGTTCTTTAATTGTGTCTATAAAACCGGTACTCGACGAGTTAAGTGTAGGAGAGCCATGCGTCGGTACGAATGGGCCGGCTCGACCGCAGTCATACCACGGCTTTACAGAAAACCGACGTGAAGCAACGCTTGCGTTGTGTTTCATCGAGTAAGTGAGGTTACCGGAAGCCCAATTATAAATTGTATCATAGAACGTGTGTCTATAGTACCCTCCTTTGTATCGCTCAGTAAATCTATTCATACATACGTACAGATAAATAAAATTGATGTGTCTGTTTAATAAAATAGAGTAACATAGGTACTTTTATTTTTAAAAAGGAAACCAAAAAATTATGTTATAAAATTAATATTACGCGGACGAAGTCGCGGACAACAGCTAGTTGTAAATAGAAGTACCTACAATTAACAAAATCCATTTGATTGAAGATTCCTTTTTTTTTCACAAACACGCGCTCCATCATCGATCGGTAACAAATAATCGTACTTATCTGTAATTCTGTATTGGGTACGTAATTATCTTGAGACGGCGCGCAGCTGCGCCACTCAGAGTACTCGGATATAGACCCTACTCATCAGAAAGTTTACTTTACAGAAGTACCTAGTATGTATTTATTTTTATTTATAATTCCCACATAAATATTTTATAATACTTACACTTTATTTAAGTATAAATGCTAAGTCTTGCGGTTGAGGACAACTTCATCGTAAGTAGGTATAACGAACTATTGTGATGACTATTTTGTTATCATATCAAAGCTTTTTATGAAAGAAAACGGCATACAGATTTGGAACATTTATAATTAACTATCTAATTACATAAATACTTTTTGACAGAACATTCAATAAACTACTTCGATCAACAACTAAATCAAAATCCGAGTGTCTCAGACTTTGAAAATCATGCCATGAATAACGTTCCGTCTCTGGTCACATCGTTGTGGACGCGTAGGTTGTGTGCCGTGTGTACCTTAATGATATATACCTCTACGTACAGGCATAGTCAGGTTCGTACCAAAGAATGCAAAGAGTAACTAATCTATATATATAAATGAAACCCGTTTCCCGTTGTCACGCCATAACTTGAGAACGGCTAGACCGATTTGGATGATTTTTTTTTGTGTTTTTTATTGTCAGGAGAAGATTCTTATGACAGAAAAAAATCCTGAAAATAACGGTAGAAAATGGGATTTCACGTATGAAGTCGGGAGCAGCAGCTAGTTGTTTTATAAATTACGTTTAAAAAAACCGACTTTAACCCTCTCTTTTTTAAAGTCGATTAATTACTATACCTACTATAACCTCTTAAGTGTAACTACAGCACGAAATTATAAGTACTACGCTTAGTACGTTTAAAAATAAATTAAGCTACTATTGCGATTTCCGAACCTTAATTTGAGGCTAAGCCTATCCACTTCAGCAATAACAAAACGCAAAGTTGCTGTCAACTGTCAAGTTAACGTCAGCAGTTTGAAGTAACTAGGGATGGTAACACGTACTTTATAATCAATGATTAATTCATATATGAATCGATACAAATTAAATTACTCCTTACCTACCATTTAAGAAAATTTTGTTACGGACTCTAAACTCTAAACTATTCCTTAAAGTTGCAGTTTTATATCACTTTTGAATATAAGACTATAATAAAAGAAAACATTCTCGTTAATAAATTTACAATTTATCGCTTATTTAACTCAGTCATTTTTGAAGTAAAATACGCCATATAACTGGGCTATACAACGAATTGTATCCCTTATGGTTTTTTCCATCATTTTGACTTCTTATTCTCATAGAAACGGCAAAGTCACTCGATCAGAGGTCAAACACAGAAAAAATTACTTTGTGAGGTGTTCACGGCATGAGAAGAAACTGCATAAAATTTGATTAATTAATGATATATTTTTACGCGGTCACTTTTTATCTCTAAAGGAAATGGAAGGAAGTGAACGTAATACAATATGCACTCACTTTTTACCAGTTATGTTATGAGCCCGATCTCCCATTCCATCAATAGTGGGTAAGCTTATTGGAGAATTACGTGCTTTCATGCTACTACAAAAAAATTATTTTTAAACTGTAAAAAACCAATACTATACTTCATCAGAAAATCGAACCTGAGACTCATTGCTCAGACTCGCATTTGCAACCACTTGAATATCGAGACGATCTGATAAGACAACAATGATAAGAACGTAATCAATTTCTCATGTAGTTTTTAATTACATGATAACATTTTAGTATGCTATTAAACTGTAGTAAATCGAATTTACGACTTACAAACATGGTGACATTAATTCAACTTCTGAATTACGGTGAAGAGGGCAATTCACCCGTTTGACACCCAGTTTCTTTATTCTACACATTACTGCTGACTTATAAATGTAATCCACCATAGTTTCCCCTTGTTTCCTTATACACCAAGGTACACATACACCCTTACTACCTATGTCAAACACCCTTAGCATAGCAATTGATTAATTATCATACCTAAAAGATTAACGACTGACTTACGAAACTATTCATTCGATAAATGCGAGCCTAGCGCGGCTCGAAACTAACCTAGCCAAATAGTTATATGAATAAGACGTTCAAAATAATTATTTTGTTGGTTTATCGAGTTAAAAAATAAATGTTGCCATGAGTACTATAATCGATTAATTTCTATATGTAATCGATTCATGTTGTACACTATATCTAGTTGACAGCCCATCCTTATCCTTACAACTTATAATAATAGTACATAACTGTTAATGAAGCAGTCAGGTCAGTGGTCTGTGGCCAGTCATGTTGTTGCCGTCAATGGTATCGTGTGGTGGGTCGATTGGCTAGTCGGATTCTCGACACACTTCGAGACGGGCAGTGGTGTGTAGTGCGCTACGGGGAAGCCGTGCGAGTCCGCAGCGCTCATGAGAGAGTGCAGCCGCCGCCCGCCAGTCGCAGCGGGGCGCAGCGGTCGGCAGCGCCTGGACGCGCGCGTCTGCCGAGTCTAGAGCACCACGAACCACTCGCATATCTGCTACCATGGTAAGTTTCGTTGTACTTTGGCTCATTCACTTTGTTTCGAGCAGTTGTCTGTTTACTTGACAGTTTACTCGTTCAGGTAAATGACTCTAGCAGATTGTTGTAGTCTCGAGTTAAAGGTGCTGTAGCTGATGGATTGCCATGAACTGTGCTCGAGGTCAAGCGAATGCTTTTTGCGAGTCGCGCTAATTGAAGTCGACGTCGTGTAAGCAGTGATGAGCAAAGAGTCGTGAGATGTAACGTCGTAGTGTCTGTGTTGTAACTACTTGTTTACACAACGCCCCCCGTTTTAGGTAATCACTATTAATAATCAATAAATGCTACATTCACCAGTGACCCCTTTGTTTGGTTCAGTGAAGTGTTATAAATATGCATGTTTCACCACTCAGCACCAATGCATGGCTTGTATGACACACAATATGTACGTCCAGTCCGTGTTGCACACACACACACACACACACACACACACACACACACACACACACACACACACAAGTAGTGTGTGTACAGTCAGGTAGGGGTGTGTAGCTCTAGGTACGGAGGTAGTGCACCACGACACTGGGGCCCACCAGCAATGTAGCAGAAATTCACTTATTTCATTTGTGCTAGTAACTATCTACAACAAAAACACTAAACCCATTACTAAATATATTTATAAAATAGAGGCTTTATAAGTGGGTACCAAGTAAGGAAACAATTATTGAGAGCAGAAATTCTACATAAAGTAAGTTCTTCAATATGTGGACGAAGTTGCAGGCAGAAGCCAAGTGAACTGATTGTAATCTACTAGCTCCTCCGGTGCGGCTTCATCTGCTCTGCTCGGCTCCTATTGACCTTAATGTTATGTTTTATTTCAATAAATGCACCATCCAACACAATGCATTGAATCAAACAAACTGTTCAGCTCTAAGTACAAGACGCCCAATAGCTGACCTCTTCATCAATTCAAAAGGTGCATGGTACTTGTTCTATAAGTAGCTTATTGATTTCATGAGGTACAATGTACAATTAATTGGTGAAATAATAAATGAATGGTACCTAGCAAACATTTCATTTTTATCTTTTCCATACAATACATGGTACAGTACCTACTGGCAGTTTGTTGTATTGAAATAAATGTCAATAGCTGTTGTGCTGCGACCTAACTATTGCATTCTTTTCATCACAAGTTGAAAATTCGTCATTGAGTGCAACAGTCGGGCTCTCCTGACTGTTGCTTCGTCAATCAATGTCATGTAGGATTGGCTCCGGAGGGTTTGGGTGTGGGTGTGACACATACATTGATCCACATGCTTGCTGCATTTGAATAAACTGTCAATTGAACAGAGTTCACTACAACCTGGTAGATACAAGAGCAAGACTGCGCAAACTTGTAGTTGCAGGGTGTACCCCTGCGAGCTCAGTGAGTGTCCGCTCATTTGTACCTACGTTGCGCGAGTGATGGCAGCGACCTGGGGGCTTACTCTTGAATCCAATTCCGATCGATCGACATTGGTATTGTGAAATTTCGTACTCTTGAGTTGCAATACTAGAGCCCATTGCATCCGTATTGCGTAGATATTGAATGAACTAAATGGTATTGAGTTTGTCTTTATATTCCGTACTCTGAATGCTATTGTAACAGCTAAGATTGTGGTTGTATAGTGTTGACATTTAATAATTATTGAGATCATATTGGATTGAAATTGCATTGACATTGAGATTGGTTTCAAGAGTAAGCGACCTGGAATATGATTGTCTAAATACGGGCACCCGGCACTCCGACCATGAGCCCTCGACTACTCGACTCGTACACGTATCGAGACAATGCTACAGGACAACTTGCATTAGTGAGTTGCACAAATATTTCCACGCAGCGGAGTCGGAACACAGCGCGGCACACGCGCGGAGATCGTGCGCCCGCGCCGCGCTGTTATCGATCACCACACACCGGGTCAAAACTGTGGGACCTTGAATCACTCAAAAGTAATCAAAACAATTTTTTTTCTGTAAAATGTTATACAAGGTCTCTGACTTATGGAGACGTGAGTAGAGTACGTCTACATGTTTACAGACACACCGAGTGTAGCTTCACCACATGACAATGTTTTCTTTAGGAGGTGAACTCGAGTGTCATGTGGTGTGTGTGTGTGTGTGTGGTTGACGTCACCCCGATGTAACACGTACACACACGTACAGAGTGCCTGATACTGCCCAGTCTGCTGTCTACTCCACCGCCGGCGCCGGCTGACTAGCCACTAGCCAGTGCGGGCAGTGTCGCTGGTCCTCTGTAATACACCGCGGCTGGAGGAAACTAGGAAACATTTTTTGTAATATATAACTAGCAATGATAACATTACTCAGCTATTTTCCTTGTATTGAGTAGGTACTCATATTTTATTTATGCATACAATAAAACAGGCTTTTATTGCTGAATACAAATAGAAAATAATAAATAATTAACATTTGAATTAACTAAATACCTACAACGGACTCTTGATGCTTTCCAAAGCACCTGTGTTTAATCGAGTCGTATGAGCCTCTGTATAGCATGGCTTGAAACTAGTCGAGTTCCTCGTCAAAGAGTTACGTGAGTAAGCCGAAAACAATAATTAATCTCATTTGTTCAATTAATCTGGACCGGCCGATTTTTCTTTCGTTTGACTAGTTATTCGATGCGAATTCGGCCTCTGATTGTAAAAAATGAGCATCTCTTCTGTACCGTCATCTTTAACATCTGATGTGATATGTTCTGTGGTCATGGCGGGCGCGGTGGGCGCGGTGGGCGCGCACTCAGCTCGTCCACGGAGTACCTATTGATACAACTTAATTCAGCTTCTCATTACCATCACTCCGAGTCGTATACCTCACCCAAAACCCTCAAAGAGTCCGTATGTTCATTAGCACGTCAAGTATTGGTGCTGCCGGCGACGCGCGTAATCCGAGAGGCCTCGCTCGGCCCAGCGCACACACGCGCACTGACTCACCACCTACTAGTGCTAGTGCGCGAAACAGCTCCACAAAGGCCTACGATGTGACGCCTGTGCGTGTTTTGTTCACGAGAGCGCATTCTATTCACAATGTGCAGACATACGTCTAGCTACTAGCTACCTGCATACACTGGACGTATAGCTATGTCGGACGTCCACGTTGCACTTGTTTTGTATTAAATAAAAGTAAAGACAATGTCGAGCAGGTTGTCCGCAGCGCACGGCGAGGTCATCGGCCGAGGTGACGGCGCACATTTCTCAATTAGAGCTGGAAGGAGTCGAGCAATGTCTGGCTCGTTACATCTTGCAGCGCGTTATTCTGCTCTGACTGTAGATGATCGCATCAACCGCATCGTATGTAGCGCAGCGCGATGTTCCCACGGCGGCCGCTTGTATTGTGTGACTGCAATACCTACGTCAATCTGTTGAGTTTTGGCAACGCCATGCGGAGTCGAGGAGAGCAGACGGTACTGAGTGACTAGTGGAGGCCGAATGACCTCGCGCTCGCGCGCCCGCGGCCGGTGAACTCGCCGCGCTGTACTCTACGCGCTTCTCACGATGCAATACCACTCGAATTGTTATTCAGTACCTGCGTGAGACTACCAGACAGATACTGAGCAGGGTCTCGGCACGTGCCTAGCAGGCACTGCAGACTGCAGACTCACTGCACGGGTGACGGAGCGCTTGGTCCCAGTCACCGGCCGCGTACCCTCGTCCTCGTACAGTAATACACAACTCACGGAGCTGCAGTCGCTAGTCGTATGTTTTTGTAACGTCGGACACCGCTCACAATGACCGCTGTCGCGTGTCGCGCTAGTATGTTCAGTATGTTCAGTAGTATGTCCATGTATGCCCAATAGTTATCTTTGAAATCCACGCCAGTCACACTGTATACTATATTGGCGTCATTTGATGAGACGAACGTCTTCATTCCGCATAACAATCGATAAACTAAAATTATAATAGTACTTGCTAGCTATTCCCGCGCGGTTTCACCCGCTCTGCTCGGCGCCTGTTGATCGTAGCGTGATGATTTATAGCGTATAGCCTTCCTTGATAAATGAGTCAATTCTGTCCATGAAATATATTTCCAAAATAACTATCAGGGACTAGGGAGTGATTAGTGATCGATACGAATGCCAAAAATGAATTTTCGGAGAGATGGGAGAAGGTACTCCATTTTTAAGAAATGGAGTAACTTCGTCGCGTGTCTTAATGGTTAAAACTACATAGAAATCATGTATGACGGAAATGTTCTACATACAATTATCTAAAAAATATCCCACAACAGCATATTGTCGCGGTGTTATAGTTACCGTTAGTAGGTAGTAGACCTACTACTTATAGAGATTAGCGTGTTTATGCAAACAAAGCAACTGACAAACTCATCAGCTTTGTACAATAACCAGCTGTTCCCCGCGACTTCGTCCGCTTGTAATAATCACTTCTGGCAGAGTTTGTCTTTTCCGAGGTATAGGCAGGTATGCTACGGCTGTAACAAATATCGTCAAAATGGATTCAGAGCTTAACTTATATTGATTGTAAATTTATTTTCGTGGTTTCAAAAATTAAACAATCCCACAGGTCCCGGTTTAACACATAGTTCCCGGTCCTGGAGATAAAAACTATCATAGATACGTCGTTTCGCAAGGCTCAAACTATCGTTGTTACGTATTTCACTTAACTAGGCTGACTGAAGGCCTGTCTTAGACAATGCCTATGTCATAAGGTCATAACATTTACCTGCATGCCGAAATTTCAGTCCGATCCGTCCAGTGGGTTGGGCTGAAGTAGCAGCAAAAACATTATTATGCAGGAATTAAAATTTGTGCAACATGCTCGAAACATATATATAGTTATCATCTTATCATTGAAAGAAAAGTCATTCATCATAAGTAGTCACAGTTGAGTTCAAGCCCAGTTACAAGTAATGTAGCAGCACACAACATGTTCCTTCGACTCGTGGTAAACGCAGTCAGTGGTGGCAGTACTGGCAGTACGGGCAGTACTGGCAGTACGGGCAGACTGCAGCTACAGTCGCGCGGCGTCGCTGCCGAGGTTGGGCAACACTCGAACTTCAAAGTAATTGGCGGCGGATGGAGATGTGTGGCGGCCATATTGCGATACACAGACATTGCACACACAGCCTCCGCACTCTGACGCAACACCAGGAACTACAGCGCGACACCGGCCTTCACTCGTACTCGTCGCTCATCACTGCTGCACACCTCACGATCTACCAATTAATGTATTTATTCAGTAAATTGCTTTAACATTCCGATAGTTAACAAACATTCGGGCACTTACACGAATGTTTTTAAACCATTGCCACTCACATTAACCTGCGTCCGACGTCGCGTCGGTTCAGTCCCATTCGAGCGTCGGTACTATATCAGCGGGCGCGTGTTACAGGTCCGCGTGGCGCGGCGGTAACTCGGAGCTCGGAGCCAGCATGGGCCCCGCCCTGCTGGGCCCCGTGCGGCGCTCGCACTGCGCTGCGCTCGCCGGCCTCGCGCTGCTCCTGCTGCTACTGCTGGCGCGTCTGCCGCCCGCCGCGCCGCCCGCGCCGCGCCCTGCCCCGCGCCCCGCGCCGCGCCCAGAACCGCGCGCCGAGCCCGCGCCCCCGGCCGCGCCCGCCAACCGCACGGCGCCGCCCGCGCCCAGCACTAGCGCCACGCTGCGGGCCAGCACGGCGCCGCGCGACCCGCGCATCGTGCTGGTGCGCGACGTGTACGTGGCCGGCCACGAGCGCCCGCACCCCGAGCTGTGCCCGGCGCTGGGCGCGCGCCTGCGCCTGCTGGTGCTGGTGACGTCGGCGCCGGCGCACGCGGCCGCGCGCGACGCGGTGCGACTGACGTGGGGCCACTACGCCGCGCGCGCCGACGTGGCGCTGGCCTTCGTGCTGGGCGCGCCGCCCGACGCGCTGCGGCCCGCGCTGGCGGCCGAGGATGCGATGTACGGGGACCTGGTGGTGGGCCGCTCGATCGACTCGTACTCCAACCTGACGCTGAAGACGCTGTCCATGCTGGAGTGGGCCGACACGTACTGCCCGCGCGCGCCGCGCCTGCTGAAGACTGACGACGACATGTTCATCAACATCCCGCGCCTGCTGGAGTTCGCGGCGGCGCCGGGCCGCGCCAACGCCACGCGCACCATCTGGGGCAAGGTGGTGCGGCGCTCGTTGCCCAAGCGCACCACCAAGTCCAAGTACTACCTGTCGCCGCTCCAGTACCCGGCGCGCGTGCTGCCGGACTTCGCGACGGGCCCGGCGTACCTGCTGACGGCGGACTGCGTGGCCCCGCTGCTGGCGGCGGCGCCCCGCGAGCGCTACGTGCGCCTGGAGGACGTGTTCGTGACGGGCGTGCTGGCGGCGCGGCTGGGCCTGCGGCGCCAGCACGCGCCCGAGTTCTACAACAAGAAGGTGGCGCCGCACCCGTGCGCGGTGCAGCGCGGCCTGGCCATCCACATGGTGCGCTACCACGAACAGTTCGACCTCTGGCGCAAGCTGCTCGACGGCAAGACCAAGTGCGCCAGCTAGGAGGCCTCACTTATTTTTCTATCGTTTTTGTTTTTTTACGAAACTATATTTTTATACTCGGTCCTCGGCGGGCCTCGCTATTGCGTGCACCCCGTCGGACCTCGGCCGCCGTCCCGGGCCCCGCGACGGTCGCCCTCGGCCTCGGAGAATCTCGCTTACATATTATTATACTAAACTTACTACATTTTTTTTGTATATAAAGTACAAAGCGGTTAGCTTGCGTGACTATAGTCGCGTGCGTCGCGTAGTCCGTTGCTCGTGGACTCGCTCCGCGCGCCCGCTCGGGCTCCGTCGCGCCCCCGGGCCCCTCTGCGCCCCGGGCCCCACGCGGCGCCCCGGGCCCCACTCAGCGCCCCGGGCCCCACTGAGCCGCGGGCCGCCGAGCGACTCGCCGGTACAGACATTACGTTGTGTGTAATCGATACAATATGTCATATTGTACACGTATTCTATTCCATCACTGCGTGGAGGTTGTGCCAGATGTAAATAAATTATAGTATGTACGTTGTAACGCCTTGTTTTATTGCAACCCCCTGTACTATACTCACACGCTTCCACCCGAACCGACCAAGCCGTGAACAAGCGACACCAAAGCTCAAGTGAATCAAACTTTAACACTATAACAGGTACCTACCATCTACCTACATATATATTATGTACTACTCAGGACAGGAGCCCGGTACACAATAGGTTCTCCGGCGAATGGTTTTGCCTCTGTTAACGCTTCATACGACATCAGGTCTACACGGGCCTACGTGTGGTGGTACGTCAACAAGTTCTAAGTATTAAATTAATGGCCATAATTTATTATTCTTTAAGTTTTGAGCATACTTTTCGTATTCTAATGGATGTCATTGTACTGCTATAATATCTTTAGATATACAGTATCTTTAGACTACTGGCGCGGTGGCTGTCGCGTCACGTGTAGCGAGTTCAGATCTCGCACGGAGCTACTCTGTGTGCTCCACAAACTGTCCCGGGTCCGGGTGTCATGTTGGGTGAACTTGAATGTTTGTAAAGGCAACAAAATCCGAGTGTGGGCAATACGTTCCGGTCCGGACTGAAGACTTCTATTGAGGCGCCCAGCGGGAACGGCTTACGCGGAAAAACTGGTTGATGCGAACAATATATTTTCGGTCAACCTCTTAAAAATGGTTGCGATGTAAAAGCCGAATGTTTTTTGTACTTTTGTTATGACATGATAACCATGATTATATTAGTCATTGTAATTTAAAAACTAACTGACTAGTATTTTATATATTTCTGCTAACTGTTGGAACCAGTCAATCAAACCAGTAGTTTGTTATTAATGTTTTTGTAGTTCGATCAGGATTTTTTCACTAAAACCGAAAATGTTGAATATCTCAGAAACTAGCCACTTTCGGACCAGAGACGTCAAGGCTAATTTGGTAGGAAATTCAGTGGTATTAGGTACCAATAATTCTAATTTCTTTGATATTATTGTATTGTAACAACATTACAATTAATTCAACTCAATGGACCTAATTTATTATAATTATACCATATCTTTGCATGCCAAGTGAAGGCAAAATATGGAGAAACTGTAAACTTTGTTAACACCTAGGTAGGTGTACCCATGTTTGCAAATGATTAATGAATTTAAAAGAGAAAGGAATTTAAAATGTGTACATGTAGTAAAAAGCAGATTCTATAAAATACCAATAAGAAACGTGACGAACACTACCGGCTCGACCCCCTTAGCTCTCTCACTCACTCTCACCCCCACGGCGCACACGCAACTCATTCACTCATTCAGTTTGTGAATTGTCACTGCCGGGGGTGGTCGTTTGCGAAATATTTTTGCATAACCTTGAACTTCGTGTCACAAATTATTATCAAAGTTCTTAGTTCAGTGTTTATGTGATAAAAGAAAATTAGTCGATAAATTTTACTCTCTAGCGTATGCTATGTTGGACTTTGGGAAGTCGATACAGATCACCTCTATCGAGCAATTCGCATCGTACCTAAACTCCCAACACAGGCATGACATCAAGTCATGCGTGCTGGCTGTTACCCAGAGACGAAACACATTAAAAACAAGTGTCGTGCGTGGTGTTGTATAGTCCAATCAGTGACCTAGTGCATAGGTAACTGTTTTACTGTGCATAGCTGTAGATTGCGACGATGAAAACTTCGAACGAAAACTCCGAGTGACACAGGTAGATATTATTACGTAATTTATTTACTTGTACATACATTCCGTCTCTAAGTAGGTACACCTACAGAGTACAGACTCATTACTAGATTTCAAATTGTTTGTACCTATTCAGCAGGATATTATTATGCAATTTAGTACCTACTAGCTGTGCCCGCGACTTCGTTCGCGTGGTTGTCGAAAACAAAACAACATCGTTTAGATACCTTACAGTTTTTTTTGCCAATAAAGATCCTGGCTGTAATATATTTTTATTTGGTAAGTAATATTGGTATAATTGAATACGATAATGCTTCCCTACGTGTATAGGTACTCTTACAAGAATCCCTCTCCCCGAAGCCTGGACCGAGCGGAATAATATAAAAATGGTGACAATTGTAGCATTAGGTTCAGTCGGTCGTTGCAGTTGGATGGAGTCGGACGAATATCGGTGATATTGTTTATTACTTAAATATTGTGCCTAATTGTTATTGTGTACTTGTTGCTATATCAGCTACTTATAATATTGTTGTATTGGGTTGGTAATACTCATATCAATTGTACTGCGCATGTACCTTTCTATTTATTAATAAATAAGACATCAGTCTATTAGGTTATGTTTCCGTGTGTTTTTTTTTAAATCTTATTTTTTTAGTGTTTATAAGATCAGAAGTGGGATTCGCTAAGATACGCGATCTAACCGCTGGTGTTATCCAACTTAGTTTTGTGATTTAATTTTTGTGATTCTACCCACATTTCAGTTTAGTTAATCAATCGCGTTTGTGACGATGTCGAATCGCTCAAGTAGATCTAGGGATCGCGACTGCATCGGGGAACGTGTTAGGTCTGGTACTAGGTCTAGGTCCCGTGATAGGCATAGTGTTTCTAGTGGTCGTGATACGCCTCCGTTACGCCGTCGACATCGAGAACGTTATTCGAGTCGACATCGCGATAGTTCTAAACAACGGTTCGTATCCCGTCACCGCCGGGACTGCTCTCGTGAAAATAATAGTGCCTTGGAACGAATACTTTCACGGCTAGACGTTATTGAAGGTCAAATGCAATCAAAGTCCAAAGTTTCGCGTAGTGATAACCCGTCCCATCTAACGAACGGCCGACCATTACCGCCGCCGTTGCTGCCTTTAGCGGTTTCAATACCTGAGCAAGGTTCTGCAACCGTTGGGGACGTAACGACGGAGGGTACGACGCGTAGCACCTTGGATACGGGAGGTGATGCGCAAAGTGCAACAACCAGCATTGTTGGGGCATTATCCGAATTGTTACGCTCAAATACCCGCAATTATTACATTTCGCTATTTGATCCGAACATTCATGACTTTGACATTTGGTGCGCGGAGGTAGATCGCGCACGTAACTTGAACAATTGGGGTGATCGCGAATGTTTAGGACGTGTTGGTGCTTGCTTACGGGGCGAAGCGCGTTCGTGGTTAAGCGATTGGGTGACTCATGATAGGTCGTGGAGTAATTTTAAGACCGAATTTAAGTCCTTGTGTCCGCGTTACATTGATCTAGCCTCTATTTTGTTTGACGTTATGTGCACCAAATCTGATAAGTACCCAACTTATGCCGAATATGCTCGTAGATCTCTTTTACGTCTTCAGGTTGTGAAGGGTTTATCAGACGAATTGAAAATTGCCATAATTCTGCGTGGTATAACCGATCCTCAGGTTAAGGCAGCGGCGGTCAATGCCAAACTAACGCCAAACAATTTAATCGAATATCTTACCGTGTATGTTAAACCTAAAATTGAGTCACGTAATTCTAATAATTCCCGTCATTTTCATCATTCCTTGTCGCGAAAATACCCAAATAATGATAAGAATCCGAATAAATGCGGCAACTGTGGTCAGAAGGGTCATAAAAAGTGGCAGTGTCATAAGAGGGTTAACACTGACGCTCCAGGTCCCGCGCATGTCTCGGATAAATTAAAATTAGTGCCGTCTTCAGACACGAGTAAAAGATCTGTAATGTTCTGCACTTTTTGCCGACGTAACGGTCATTTGGTTGACACGTGTTATTCGAAACAACGTTCACTTAGTACGGTTCCAAATAATAGTGAAGTAAATTTTTGCAAAAATCTACCCCCAAACGAAACAACCTAATTTCAGCCATAATTCAAGGTAAAAATATAGATGTGTTGATTGATAGTGGGTCCGAGATTTCTCTTGTTTCGCAATCGGTTTTAAAACATTTCAATTTTAATAGACAACCTACTTACCGTTTATTACGTGGTATAGGAAGTCAGGAAATTGAATCGACATCATACATAACGACTACTATTGAATTTCCTGAATTAAAACTTGAAGTAGATTTGTATGTTGTTTGCCCAGAGTGTATAAATGCTCCAATTTTATTAGGTACAGATGTACTTAATCGTAAAGGGTTGCAATATACTCGGGTTGACGGTAAACAACTACTTAGTAGAACTGATAGCTCGTTATCGGTTTGTCACATTAATACGGTAAAATTTGAAAATATTAAAACTCCTTTGGTCAGTGAGGATAGAAAACGTCTTGTGAACCTTATTCATGAGTATTCAGACATATTTATTTCGGGAACAGCGACGTCTACTGTTAATACGGGTTCTATGGTGATTAAGTTAACTTCTCTTACACCGGTGAGTCATCGTCCTTATAAATTATCTGTTGATGAGAAGCGAAGGGTGCGCGATATAGTCAATGATTTGCTTAGCAAGGGAATAATTCGCGAATCACAATCTCAATACGCTAGTCCTGTCATTCTGGTCAAAAAGAAAGACGGGAGTGACAGGATGTGCGTCGATTACCGCGCGTTAAACACCATCACCGTCAAGGAAAAATTCCCT